GATTATGACAAGCTTCAAATGATTTTTCCGTGTTTTCTCGAAGTGTAATTGACAGTTGATGATGAGGAAACCTTCCTAACTATTCATACCAGTAATATATACAATTTTAGCTGTATTAGAGAGGGAGGTATTGTATATAACAAGTGGAAAATGGCGAAGAGGCATCATTATGTGGAGGATGATCCCGCAAAGCAGTTAAAATTAGACGATTAAACGTAATTGTTTCGATTTAGCGTCATTTAGTTGACGCTAAACCGAGGTATTCCAGACAATAGGAATTGTACGTAATAATGAGATCTATACGCCAATTTGAGTTTGAAATCGTATAGAATAGAATAGAACCTCCGATAACACCTGTAAGAACGTCCTTTTTTTTTAAATGGCCGCTATTCAGAGGTGGTTGTTGTTGGAGGTTTTCGAAGAGTTCCGTTTGATTACCCTCCGATAGATCTTAGGGAAGATCTTTACAGTATATCGAGGTTCTTGTTTTAAGTCATATTCTAAGGAAAGTATGCTTTATTTTAGTGAAGAATGTACTTTTACACACCAAAATTCAACCTACCGTGTTTCGTGTACGTTTGTTCACCGACATATTAACAATTTAGACATAAATTAAGCGCTTTTCCTTAAAAAAAATCCTTAATATTTTACAGCAGTTACGCTTTCTTTACTCAAAATTAACTTAATATCCACCAGAAAAGAGGATTTTATTGTTAAAACCCACTAAACAAACACTAGAGAATCGTTAAAATAATTTAACGCAACTACAGCGGCCATTTTATTTTCTAAATTACACTATTTATAAGTACTTTATTTGTTAAAATTACTAAAAACACTTGTACAAAAGACAATTATCCGTGTTAGAATAAGCTTTAATGCGTATCATTGTCAGAAATTTTATTGTTCGAATTAATTTTATTCGCTACATCAACATTAAACAGCGTAAAACCCCGTTAAGAGGCCATCCGAATAAACTATTTTTACATAGAAATTCCTCCCCCCTTTTTTTTCTATAATAATTGATCGAATTATTAAAATAATCCTCAGATTATAATCATTAAAATCGATCCGTTTTAAATTTTAACGAGATTATTTTACTTAAAAGTTATCTAACAATTAAAAAAAAAATGAATTTATTGTCATGCGAATTAAATTTTATAACAATTAACCCGTTTAAATTGTAGGATTCCTTCGAACAGGAATTAATTAAGGAAAAATTTTAATTTCGTTCACTAGAATAATACCAGAATATGCTTTTCACTTCTATTTTTTTCTAGTGTTTTCCTTATTTTATAACCAATTTAAATAGTGTTTTAAATAGCATTTATGAAGGTTTGAATAGCTTTAATAGTGTTTAACTTAAATACTTTCAAGTAAATATATAGTAACATATATAATACCTCATTCCAGTTTCAAGTTTTATGATGGTTTTCTTCGATCCGTTCGGACAGACAAATAGAGGAACACACTGATTTATCTTAATATAAGCTAGAGAATTTAGAAATTGTATATTTATACATTAATCTGTACTTATACGACGGAGTGGTGTGAAGTTATTGTAAATTTATACGTATGTAGAAGGTCGAAAAGAGATACACCACCCTATATATATATATCTCGATGTGACGTGATAAATATCTTTCTTACTTATTCATTTTTTGTAAATTTGCTAGTGGCAAACTTCACCCCAACAGTATTGTTCCTGTCACATAATTCATTTAGCAGCTTCCCTCCTATCTCCATCTTCCTCTTCCTCCTCTAAATGTTTTTATCCTATGGATCCGCGTGGATTACAATAAAGAAAACGAGTGCATACATGATCACGTGCTCGTTTCAGTTATTAATAAATTAAATTCAAACGAGAAATATTCGAAAATTCGATTCTTTTCACGCGGTTCTTCCATTTTATTTCTTTTTTTTTAAATAATTCGTAACGTTCTTTTCGTTCGGCGATTCTATAAAGTTTAAGTCGTTATCGCGAGGTTTTGGCGTTATAAAAGGTAAGATTTTCTACCCCTCGAGCATTCAAATAAATCAAAAAATTCGACACCTTTGCAATTCCAGTCACGACGTCGGTCTGTCGATCCGTACACTTCAACGTCGATTATAATCGAATCAATTATATAATCCTCCCCCCACACACACTATCAACTCCAAAATATCATTATTTCGACTATTTTTACTTCAAATTTAACTGCAAGATGCGCCATTCATCCTCCGCTTCTCCCTTTGTCTAGCATAATGTATGCGGTTAATTTCGTAACAAGTAAGATTGTGTGATTCGCAAGATAACTAATGCCAAGTAACAATTGGGAATTGGAGAAAATGCTGTCGGCATCTTCCACAGAAACTATTATCGAATTTATTTTAACTTTCTATATTAGATTTTCTATGAAATCATCATACTTTTCTTATCCTTATTATTAATGTCTGGTGATAATTGATACTATAAATATAGGCGAGACGACAGCGTATTGTAGGAAAGGGAAATCCTTATCGATTATATCGTGATAAAGAAGAAAAATGCGTCATAGAACCCAACAAAAATGATCCGGTGACGATATATTCGCTCGTATGTTTAAATTTTCTACTTAACAGCATTGTTGGATGATGATAAGGTCGAGCATTTTACAGCTTGTTTACGGCTGAGATGATAAATTTTCCAGATTTTATATAAGTTAACTCGTAGAGATGATCGTCTTATATATGAAATCACAAGCATCTTCGACCAATATCGTGTTTAAAAGTCGCTCTTGACGTGTTCCTAATCGAATTTAAAAGGCAATTCTCCACCTCTCCTAGGAATTAAACTAGGAGATTTGATTGTAACCTCATAAAAAAACCTGTAAAATGTAACATTTTAAACGAGAAATGTAAAAAGAAAGAGCGATTTTCAGTGTAATGGAGGCTCAAAACGAACGTGTCCGCACATATAAATGAGAGTAGGAAATTCCAATTGTCCAAAGATTGATAATTTCCATCTTTATCTCTTTGGAGAAGGAGAAGATTAGCGAATTTGATGGAGATCTTCGTAACTAGAAATTTAAGGCGTTACATTCATTATGCGAAAGCACGCAAAGAATTCCACGCTCAGTCAAAGACTGTCGCGTGTTAAACCTGTCAAAACATTGAGGTTTTCTGATATATAAGTTAATACTTCATCCGAGATTCCTCTAATTCGATTTTAATATCCTATTTTTGTCTTGCGGAATGTCTCCTCTCCTCATTCCTCCCCGTTATAAAAGTAGATTTAATGCTCTCGGGTCGTCGACTATGCCTCAAATATTTAAAGAGGTATGCTCCTCTAACGATAAAATACGAGTTTATACTCCATAAATGAAACATCACGTCGTTTACCACGTGTTCAGCATCACGTTTTTCTTCCACGATTTCGAACATCCCTCATCCTTGATAAGGTATGTTATTTTGTTCGATAAATTTGATATGTCCTAACAAAATTTATAGATAAAAAAATATAATATTTATAGAATTTTTATACATTCCGCTGGCGCAAACAAAATATAATCTAATTTTACGTTAGCAATCGAATCTTTTTTTCCCTTATAGGCGCCCGTGCGGTCGTCTTCCCCTCCGAGTACATTTCGATGCGAAAAAGACGAATTTACAGGGGACGTCGCCTCTCAAAAAACGCTTATAAATAAGTGATAAATGATATTTAATCTCTATAAATAACTTAGGAGCGTACGGGACGGAATGTGATTGTCTTCTTTTACTTTATTGAATCACTCGATATAAAGAATAACCCCGAAATTACGCGAGACGTAACGTTTAGAAGTCAATTATTCTTGTAAAGAAAAAATACCGGATGGAGAATGTCGAGTTTAATACTGATTTCGTCAGACTAATCACTCATTTTTTTTTTCCTGCGACAAAACCGCGATTCGTCACGCTCTTTTCTATCGATTTTCAAATCAAATTTTGCTTCCCTCGTTTTAATATCGATTTATCTTCGATATAATGCTTAAAAATTGTATAAACTCGGCACTTCTTAAGTCGGAGACGGTCACAGGATGCTCACTCCTCCTCCACGCATCAATTTAATAGGAGAATCACTTAAAATCCCGTTTTGTTTACGGTATAGAGGGGGGTCCAAAATCGGTTTGAAAATTAAATTTTGTAAGGTATAAGTGTATATTTTCCTTTAATTTAAATTCAAACGGGGGATTTACGTGCCAGATGCCAGCTTGTTTTATCGATAATTGGGCGGAGTAACTGTTCGTAACGTTACATCTGTTGATCAGAAATTTTGACAGATACATATTTTAGCCACGCGAAAATAATGAGAGCAATTCCTGAATTAATTAGTCGAGTGTTTTAATTGATAATCGTTACAAAAGGTATCCCGGACCGAGCTCTTTGTACCACTTTCTTTAGTCATTATAAAGGTTAAACTTTATAATTTCTTCGGCAGTGTAACTAATACAACCTTCTGTAACTAATTAAAAAGTATATTTAAATTGCCAACCCTCTCGTAGGTATTTTTATCGGCACTCCTCATTCGTATGCAAATGTGGAAGCCGTTCTAACGTTTGAATATTCGAAAGACCTTTAGGGACGTTTACGCTTTGTTAACAATGCAGATTTGTTTGTCACGGACGTCGTTCCCTCGTTATTTCGAGTGGCTCCTATAAAAAAAAAAAAAAAACGCTATTCCTCCTCCTCTAAAATTTTTGGTGGTGTCTTCGCTTAGCTTTAATTAAGCTAATTATCGCCTTCCAGCGTTTTTAAACATTAAAAAACACGTTGCGGTGTCGAGATGGTCACGTGATAGGTTCGTACTTTGTTTAGCGGCAACCAGAGGGCGCAGTCGGTACAGGCACAGCTCGGTGCGTAGGGTTCGACTTCAGTCGTTAGGTGCTGCTCCGAAGCCGATCGTCTCCACGTCAGGTCTCTTCTAGAGATTACTTTAATGTTAGTAGTTAAAAATCGATTATTGCCCTACACGTTGACTTAAAAAAAATCGATTTTTCTTTTTTCAGGAATGATTCAGATATGATTCCCGTAGAGATAAGGTAGCATTTCGGCAAAATCCCAAAGATGGGAGGACGTTGGGCTCGAAAATATTTGGTGCTCCTGGCCGTTTTGGGATGCATCGGTTTACTTTTCCTCTATTACTCCAAATCTCCTTGCATCAGCTACGATAACAGACCCATGATGTTACCCCCGCAGGTAAGTTAAGGTGAGCGCGCGAGCGTGCTTTCGTTTCCCTGTCCTTTCAACTAACAGCGCGCGCTTGGTGTGGTTTCAGAAATACATCGTGGGTCCCGATAATAAAAAATATGTTTACGACAGAAACATGCAACTAATCTTCATTGGGGGAATGCCCCGCAGCGGGACCACTCTGTTGAGAGTGCTGTTGGATGCACATCCCGACATCAGATGCGGAGAGGAGACCAGGGTCATCCCCAGGTTACTCAGTATTAAACAGCAGTGGCTAAAAGCACCGATCGAGTACAAGAGACTACAGGAAGCGGGAATCACCGGAGAGGTAAGTGCACGGTTGCGGTCACTCGAGTCGTGGAGTGTTTACAGTTTGCTGTCCTCCTAGGTTCTCGATAACGCCGTGGCCGCCTTCATACTCGAGATTATAGCAAGGCACGGAGAGCCCGCACCGCGTCTGTGCAACAAAGACCCCTTCACTTTAAGGTCTGCCGTGTATTTAAATTCCCTCTTCCCCAGAGCCAAGTACATATTGTTGATACGCGACGGCAGGGCGGTGGTGCATTCCATCATCACGCGCAAAGTCACCATAACCGGTTTCGATCTCACCGACTACAGACAGTGTCTCAAGAAGTGGAACGTGGCCATGCAGGCCATGTACTACCAGTGCCAACAGTTGGGTCCCAAAATATGCTACCCCGTTTATTACGAACAGTTGGTGCTCCATCCCAAACAGGGAATGGAGAAGATACTAGAATTTCTGGAGGTTCCCTGGAACGATTCCGTTCTGCACCACGAAGATTTGGTGGACAAACCGGGAGGAATATCCCTATCCAAGTAGGCCAGTTTTCCAATTTTGTCGGGAATCTCCACCCCGACGTCTTCTAACGCGGTGTTCTTTATTACAGGTTGGAGCGATCCACGGACCAAGTCATCAAACCTATTAATCTTGAGGCTCTGAGCAAGTGGGTGGGTAATATACCCGAAGACGTTGTTCGAGACATGGCCAACATAGCGCCCATGTTGGCCGTTTTAGGTTACGATCCCAACGGGAATCCCCCGAATTACGGAAAACCGGACAGTTTCGTGTTGAGGAACACCAAAGAAATAGTGGACAACCAAGTGATTTGGGCGGAGAAGGAGAAGAAACTAATAGAAGAGCGCGAGAAAATTCGCAAACAGGCGGTACAAAACAAAGTGAAAGACTTATCTTCCAGTACGGACAACGTGGAGCACTTCAAAAACATTTCTTCCAGGTTAGCTAAATTAAATCTACTAAAACAGATGCCAATATAAAAACACAAAGGTACTGTGATCCATTTTAAACTGGGTATATAACTTTTAACGATGCGGACCAACAAGGTATATAAACACGTTACACTTCTACATTCTGTCGGATGGGTGAAGCCACACAGGACACAAAATTTCCATCGATTTGATAGGATTACGTGTATATTATCTAAATTGTTTTATCGATTATGAATATTAAAAAAAAAATTCGAAAAAATTTTATCCCTGTTTCAATGAATCGCCAATACGTTTCCCACCGTAATTAATCACTTCGGAGGGGTCATCTTATGCACGTGATTAATGTGTTAATTAAAAAGGTGACTGACGTGGAAAGTGAGGTTAGCGATAGAATGCGAGTTACGAAGATTTTTGCAAAATTGATGAAGGTAAATACTACAAAAGATAATCCAGATGGGTAAAGATTAATGATTTTATAAGTAATTCTTATGCGCCGGAAAGATAAGGAGGGTGATGAATGGAGAAGTATCGCTTGGTATTGTTATTGCCTACAAACATTGTGACGTCATACAAATAAGATTAAGTCTTTCTCCGAGTGAATAATACCCAACTCACGTTCTCGAACTGTACGCAACACACATCGTAGTCGTCGATTTTTGTTTCCCGGTGTGTGACGTACGTTTATCTTATTCGGACTTCGACTGTTAATGTAACTTGTAAACCGTTGTTATATCGATTATTATTATTGTCTTAATCAGTTACAAGCGTTTAATTAATGATAGAATTTGTGCGACTCCACCGTGTAATTTCTGGTGTTAGCACCAGTACTTTAACATTAAGCAGGTGCAGAAAACTGCAGCGAAGTAAAATTAATACTAATTAATGAAGAGGGGGATTGTACCGGATAAATAATACAATGGCGATTAATTTATAACCAGAAATTTGACAAAGGAGGATGATTTTATTGTGTTTACAATATATTTTAAAGGTAATTAGCAATTACCATGATTATTTACAAGGAAGGAAAACAGTTGCTTGATTAAAATTTAAGTTTATTATTTCTATTATAATAGAGGTTTTGAATATTCATAGTTTTAAAAATTACTAAATTTTAATAATGAAAACCAGGAAGTGTGATGGTATGACAACTGGTGTTTGCTGTAATACTACCTCTACTTGACAATACATAGAATAATCAATAAATACAATAGAGCAACTGGCTTAATCTTTATAATATGAATAGATTTAGAAATGACAGTTAAAATTAGGACTTTCATGTTTTAATTGTCATTAAAATAGGGCATTTCACCATTTTCCTTACAACTACAATCTGCTTTTTTTGTTTGTTTAATTCACAGCTGGGCAAATAGGTACATCTGTATGAAAAAAAACAACATTTTCCTCTAAATTTTAAAATTTATTACTAACTGGATCTCAACCTCTTCACACACATTTTCCATTTAGTAACAATACTCTTCATTAAAAGGGGCATTCTACATTCTGGTGTGGGGAAGATCTTCGTCTGCACTTTTGCCAAAAGTAACGTGAGGGTCGCGAGCTTCGATCCATCTTCCCAGCAGGGCTATCTGGGATTGCACGCTGGATCTGCTTGTGCCGCCAGTGCAACAGTATCTTTCTACGCTTCCCTCGTAGTCCCACAGCTCAGCCACGTCTTCGTCGAACTCGTTCCTGAAAATACATCGTTGTGAAAGTTTACGATTTTAAAAATGCTCAGACATACTGCAAACCTACGAGATTTTTTGGAGGTCGGCGACCGATAATTCCGGGAGAGACGTCCCCTTTTCTTCTGCCAGGGCCACCGCTTTACCCGCACACTCGTGTGCCTTTCTAAATGCTACCTGAAAAATAAATATCAAATTTAGTATTAAAGTTGTAAGCCCTAAATTAACTTTTTTACCAAAACTTTTGCTTGAGACAGATAAATTCTCTTTTATTTCATCTGATTATTTTAAGAGCAACCTAATGAGGAGCATTATTGTACAATATTAAATAGGTAATTTATTTTTTATTATCTTTGAGTAAAAGTTATAACATTAGAACACTGTCTTCTGCCTGCTTCTGTGATTTAGAAGCTAACACATTTTAATCTTTATTTGAAATATCTGTCACTTATGTATGCGTGTAGCAGATTTTGATATCCCATACTAATTCCAGACCACGGCCGTAAAATGTGCATTAAAAGTCATGCCGTAATACGCTTGTCTGTAGATCTTTCCTCGTACAAATCTCTCAGAGTAATAACCATTTTTCTTCTCCATAATTTTATTTTGATTTTTTCCGAAACAATAGGAAGGCAAAATTCATTTGCTTAAAAGCGTATGTCGTAAAAGACTAATTTGAAACATTTGTACCCATTTCCGTAGTTGTGATCCATTTGGTAATTAAAAAACAGACCGCCTCTCTTCTCCCCAAAGTAATTCCTTTGGCTCGAAGATTTAGGTTTAAATTCGAACCACTATTTAACAATTGTTGGAAGTATCTGCTATTGGATAACGTACTGTACATTAAATTGCATTTTTTAGGATTCAAAGATTTCTTACCTATTGGAACTAAGAAAGATGTTCTTTTATATTTATTCTTATAACAGAAAATGGTATTTAAATAATTAGTCTTCTGTACGTATCAGAAGTAAATCAAGACTTTTTCACACAAAGAGTAATCAAATCTTTGGAAAGGAAAAATTAATTTTGTCTATTTGCAAGAATATACAATTCTATTTACAGGTCATAAAATGTCAGATACTTTTTAATACTTCTAACAATATGAAAAAAAAACTATATTTATAGAATGTAAGTTTGTGAAGCATCTTATTGTCATTTCATTTCAATGTTAAGTTCCTTATTAACTTGATCAAATGAATGAGAACTCAAATTTTTGCATTTCCTATTCTATGGACATCTTGACCTTCCTTGTTCTTATTTAAAGAACAAGCCAAATCATGTTATGACAAATATTAGAATTTTAATGAAATATATTGTATTCCACACATCTGAATACCAATTATTGTGTTTGTTGCAACTAGTATTAACCTATACTAACTTTATCCAGATTGTCATTAGATACAGCTCAGTAAAGATGATGAGTATTTTGTTTCTTTAACTAGTACATGGATAGCAGGAATAGGACAATGCTAATAGTGTGTCGTCTGTGTATCTTACATACAGAAGGGGGTAACAAATAGTTACAAGGGTCGAGAATACTCTAGACCACGATAGCAAACCCCTGGTATACAATGATGGAACATTACATATACTTGGTTCTAATGTCATAAAGTTCCTCTCAAAAACAACTCTTTGAATATTAGCACCATTTTGAGGATGCTAGCCTGCCAGATAACAGAACATCAAACTGATGTGTTCCAGGGAAGACCTACTTGCAAACACCAAATTTAATGTAATAAATCTTTACTCAAAGAAATGAGATGGTGAACAATAGGGAGTTGTCAAATGTAGCTATGTGGCTAAATATATATTATAGCATTGTAAGTAGCTTTTGAAATTGGCTTTGGAAACATGTCAAAATGAATTAGGAGCAGGTGGAGGTCCTCCTCCATCTTTCAAAATGGGATGCCATCAAACCTGTGCGGTAGGATGACTCATTTTGGCCCTTTGGACCCCGTCGCAACTCCGGAATCTCCAGCAACTAGCTTCTAGATTTTTGTGAAGATAATCTTTATGCAAGAAAGTGGTCAATTCTCTCTCTTTCTATAAAAGTACTTAGTCAAAATGTAAATGGTGTCAATAGTGGTCCATAAAGTCCATTCACAATCACAATTCATTGGAGTCTCCAAACTGATAATCTGGAATCTAATTTTACAAATATTTTTGAAAATGGTTGTAATTCTAGCCCACACCTATCTCTGCACAGAACTTCATGTTCTATAACATGGAATAAAGATAACAGATGAACATATTAACGTTCTGGAATTCTAACAACACTCATCCTTGTATAGAGTTTTTCAGTTATTTTGTAACAATTTTGCAGCCTTGTTATTGAAAAAAAAAGCATGCACTTCCAGTTATTACTGTGCATGTGACATTTTACTATGATTCAAATTTCAGAAGTCAACAAGTTAGAACGTTTTGAATATTTTTCATTTAAACTTGTTGACTTCTGAACTCATTCAAACTTCCACTGTCATACAACCAAATTCCACTTTTAGAGAAGGAAAATTAGAGATTGTATCTTTAGGAATGCTAATGTTTCAAATGATATTGGAATTGCCCAGGAATCACAAAGAAATCCAACCAGGAAAGTAAGGAATTCTGTCATCATAACAAATCCTCTTACCCCAACAGCAATGGCAGAGTCAAGTGTCACTGGAATTCATTAATCACTTCATTCCAAAAGATCTGAACACCAGCCACTGGTAAAGACTGCCGTTCATAAATTATCAAATTTAAACAAAAAGACAAGTAAATTTGCTGTTACTTTGGATGAGTGCTGGGTGTATCTTCTGAAGTGTAATGACATATGGAAAATTTATTCTGAGAAACATGGAGAAAACTATCCTCGAGGACTTGTGCTTGTAGACTTTGTTGGAACAAGGCACATTTCTGCTCATTACTCTCAAAAGTAAAAATATCTGGATGGTACTAATGGTCCTGAAACCATTCTTTGAAAAGAAACTGCCGTGTACATACCCCAGTGAAATGTGTAAAGTATTTCTGCATGACGACAAAGCAAGCTCAAACATCTTGAGAATTAGCTACATCAACACAACAAGGACATACCCATGAACAGTTGCAAAGCCAGTTTTTGGATTTGGTTGGCTAAAACAAAAGCTGTTTGGAAAATTTGCAAAAAGGACTGATTCAAGATTGATATTCAATTTACAGAAGTAATGGAGGACATCTTCAGCAAATAAAAATTTGCATAACGATTTATTACAAGAGAAGTTAATGTAACAAACTTGTTCAAAAATAACTGAAAAATCCTCTGTAGAAATCACTTTGTGGATCTGCAAAGATCAGCCATCCGGATCATCTGACCCAATATCTGACAAAACATGTTCTGAGTTGTAGATTGCTGACCTATGTAGAACTCAATCTACAGATCACAATTGGTAGGTCGGAGGTCGGTTGATGTTAAATTGCATTATTGTCTTAAATAACATTGAGTAGAAAAATGGCTGTTCCTTATTGTGGTCAAAAGACAGACCAAAGGAAGCCTTTATTAAAGTCGATAGTACCACTTGCCGATTGCAGATCAAAGATACGCATAGTTAAAATGTCGGCTCGTCATTCTCTGCAATTTACAGGTTGTAAGGATTACAACCTATACCTTTTGAAATTTTGTAACAGTCGTCAAAACAAGCCAGTTAAAATCAAAGTTTAAATGCAAGTTTTTTAAAACAAACATGCTGGCATACACGCATTTGACAGCATGATGTAATCAGAATACCAAACGACATCCTGGGCCCTTCTACCCCCTTCACAAAGGTCTGCAATAAGTATTCAACTCTCGTGACAATAGAATAGAATTAGATTTAAAATTTGTTCCATATTTTGTTGGTATTTGTCACTTTCCTTAATGAATTGATTCCTCAAAATGTCATTTATATTTTTCTTCTTCCCCATCCAATAACTTCACATCAAGTTTACACTCAATAGATTTTATTTTAGATCTTCACATGAAGTTTACATTCATAGACAAGTTGATTCAGCTTTTTAACATGCTTATATTTATATACTTTTTGTGTTTTTTAAAAATTTTAATATTTGCTGCCCGTAGACTGCAGACGAGGGACAAGCAGCACCAGAAATGCAAGGCCGTAATTATGTCATGTTTTAATACACGCGTGCATATCTTTGATTTGTAATTAGCAAGTGGCACTGTTGACTTGAATAAAGATTTCCTCTGCTCTGTCTTTAGACTGGGAAAAGGGCTGTTCCTCACTGTCAGTTTACATATGATAAAAATTTTATAGAAGATAAATTTTTTCGATAGTGTGAGAATATTTACTAATAAATTCTAATTAACATGGTGAATAAGTCAGTTAATGCAGGGCTGCATTCGCTAAATAATTATTAATGAAGAATTAACCTTCTTTATCATAAGTATATTCTCAGTTTCAGATTAATATGATTTTATTATTCCTACTGATCTCAACTATACTGTAATAGCTTACATGTTATACATGTAACACATGAATTAAAATATCTGTGTACTGTGTTTGAGTCATTCTAGTAACTTAATGACTATTTTCTCTAAATAATTTATCAAGCATTTCTAAAAATAAATATGGCCTTTTCCCTAGTGTGAGGGAAGTGTCAAATTCTGTATACCAGAGAAATTCTCAGCACTAACATTATACAAAAACATTGTGTACAAAAACATGTATTTTCAAACATTGTGCTGCTATTATACAAAAAGTATAATAGCAGCACAATGTTTGAAAATACGGTAAACTTCTGCTAATTAGGAACATATAACATATACTTTTTTGAAAGAATTTGTCTAATTTAAAATTTCTCAACAGTAAAATACTTGGACTTCCAGGTGTCAAACATTTATTAATTATCTGTGATACCGTGGCATTATATTACTGTAGTCGGTAAGTTACTAAAGACTATACATTGCTGTATATTGTAGTTGTGAAATCTTATGAGCTCATTTCCTATAATAATAAATTCACCAGGTATAACGTAATAAAGCTCGGTAAAACTTCTGTATAGAGCCAATTGTAATAGAAGTACAATATAGTAATTTATGTGTATTACTGTATGTGTGTACCTCCTCGTTTATCACACTATCAGTGGAAACATTCCACCTACTTGGATAACCTTCGCCCCTATTGGTCAGAGTCGGCAGGATTTATATTCTAAATCGAGAAATTAGCAATACATATGATTTTATAAATCAAGTGTGACATTTCCTGTAAATTACTCCTTGAAAAAGTTTATTTAGGCTTACTTGAAACGGCCTCGAAACTTCTGTTACATCTTCATCCACTTGCATACTAAATTCTGGATATTACTGCTGCATTCTTGAGAGAATTGTATAAATTAATCCCTGTAGCATCCAGCTCTTCTGTATTGTTGTAAATAAATTATTTTTTCCTTCCTCTTTACACCAAAAAGAAAAGCAAACAAAGACCATTCACGAAAGGCTACTCTAAATAATCCTTTCCCAAAGACTCTTTACGATTACTGTTAACCTAAATTATTCATAAAGTGAGTTGATGCAGAAGAGACATGAGAATTCCTTGCATTTCTTCTGCATACATTTTCACTCTAACCAACAAAAGAAGCAGAAACAATAGATGAAAATTAGTGATACTAAAGCAGCAATTTCCTATTTTCAATTTCCCTGACTAGTTGAAAGCAACTTGCTGCATAATTTAAAAATGGCAACATCAAATAAATTGTAAACTAACTAAAACTCAGTTATAGGGCTATTCAATTTCCTTTATTAATTTTTTTTCATTTTGATTAATCAATTCATGTATTGTTGCTTCAAAATGTGCTGAAGATTATCATGTTGAACCTATATGTGATATACAATTTTATTAAAATATAGAAATTCAAATTGATATTGTCAACCTTATAACGTGAACCTTATACAATTTTTACAAATAATGCAATTCATAGTGGGTAAATATCACAAAATAATCATAGAAAATGTCTTTGCGTTGCTTAGCAATTTTAATCAGCTGTAGAATTATTTATTCAGTTATTAGCCATAAGAATTTCTAATGTTATATCTAGCAGTTTTTGCACTTTCTCTCTATTCCTTGTATAAGCTGGATTTAAGCATGACAGTCCTTTGGTCAATTTGTATTTCAGTGGCAACTTTTCCAACAATTTGGTGGTTACAACTCGTAAGCTATATAGAATCATTTAACATCTCTCTTTATACAAAATGTTATTAATGAACTGTAACACAAATCATTAGTTTAAAAATTAGGGAGCTTATTCTCTGGTGTAAGCATTTTTCTTTGTCGAATATATTCATTAACGGCATGCGCACCGACTATTAAACACAAGAATGAATTGCTTAAAACCGATTCCATTGAGATAAGCTTAGCATTGTAGATTAGTTTTAAATTAGATATTTAAAATAATTTTCGTTTTATTACTATACAATTAGATTATGAAAACATAGGAATTACACTTAGCAGCACAATTGGTAACGACAACTTGTTACCCACTGTCACTATGCTGTTATTTGAATAATAAAATAATTATTTTAAATTTTAGTGAATGACATCTTACAGTGTCTTCCAAAGGCTCAGGTATGTTCTTTAACATCCATTCCCTCAAGTGTGGCACACACTCATCCAACATAATACACAAAAAGCAAAATACCCAAAAATTTATATAATTATGTAAATAATGTGCAATTATTACATTAAATTAGTAACAAAGTTTTTTGTAAAGCTTTTCAGCATCAGTATAATTTAAACAATATTATTTTGTCTCTCTACTTACCCCTTTTCGTACTAGATAATAGGCAATGTCTGTTGCCAGCATGTCCGGAGAAAGAGCGGCCAGACAGGCTTCCGGATTAACCTGAAATATTTTAACATATGTCTTAGTCCGGAAAAGCTAATTCCATTCTTTCCTTAAAGGAATGGAGGGAATTAATATACCTTTAAGGTTCTCACAGTACCAGCGGCAATCCGTAATGCCATACTTATGGTGTTGTACGTGTCAAACATTGCCTCTTTGTCTTCCTGAAACAGAAATGAGCGTTTTTAGAAGGACGAATCTCGATTAGAAATGCGATATTTGTTCTTCTGGCCAAATACCTGCAAATCCTTATTGAAAGTACTTGGAAGACCTTTGAGCAAAACCAGAATTCCAGTACACTTAAAAAAAAGAAAAAATATTTTATTTTAATTCAAATGAAATTATTGGAGTCCTACCATATTTATAATCTGAAATTCCAATTAATCCAAATATGAAAAGTAAAGTAAACCTTGCCAGATAGCAATCACTCTTTGAAAACCTAAGAGAAACATACAGAATATAGGTTTTAACTATTTATTGTGTACCAGAATGGGCAAATAGTCCAAAATGCATTTCTTTTTGTATAATAAAATCTATGTAACCAATTGACAGTGTTTCCATACAATAAATTCTACATAGTGATTCTGTGCTTACTTGTAAAGGTTTGCATTTGTGTTTAAAGGTCTCACTTTCACTGATTTCCCAATAACCACCACCATTAGGTTAAGTTTATTCCTGCCAGTCGCATTACTACACATAAAGATAATGTGAGATACGCAGTGGGTCAGGGGTTAATCTGGCACTGACCACTTAATCTGCACAGGCTGGTGAAGCCCGATCTCGGAGTCGTTCGGATGGCTATGAGGGCAAAATGAGTGGGGAGTGCGTCGGTAAGTCGACAGGTTTCCTCGGATAGACAGGAGACAGGTTTAACAAATAACAAAATAAATGTTTATTCTATAACTAAAGTAATTTACAGGAGTATACAAGTTACTGATTATTGCCTAGATGCAGAAATACAAATATATCTATAATCGCTCTAACTATTCACTATGTCTCGTGAGAGAGTTTACACAGGCTCTAGAGTGAGAGAGTGATATTGGCGGTCATTTATACCTTATGTTGGAGGACGGTATGCGACAATCATCCTGGACTATGGAAGCTGGCTGTCTGTCACAGGCTTATATCTTCTACCAGCTTCTCCTTGGACAGGATCGGGACGGGAGACACTGTATTCAGACCTTCCAGATGATCGCTCGGAGGACAGTCGCACTGAGGGGGCGATCGACCGGAACTTTCCGTGATGATCGTTTTTATGTGATCGTCGTTAGCACTGAGCCAACACGTCGTTCACTTGTTATGCTGACTGATTATCACGCGCACATTGACTAATTAACAAACGGACGATGTGTAAGATTCGACATCCGATCTATTTCTGTTATAACGTGTGATAAATTTTTTTCATCCTCTAATGTAAAAATATGTTAAACTCAAAAATTTACGCCCTGTAAACCCTCGGGCTCACACTAATAATGTGTGCTCCCAGTTTTAAGACGAGTAAAGAATACAGCTCTTGCCCGAAAGCTAGGGTAATTCAAAACTTATATAAATTATCATGGATACAATAATAATGAATAATTTTAAAATGACCATTGAATATATTAGTTACAGAATATTTATGTATTGACAATAATAAAAAGAGCTTAAATTCTTATTCTCAACTAGTTATTTATTACAGAGCATTTGAATGTATCGTTACAAAGACATGATTTTATACTTTATAATATAAAAAGATAAGATTTTACTCAAGTTATGACCATTGCAAGTCAAATATAATTAATATTACCATATATCTAACTACCGATCGGTGTCGACTGCTATACTGGTGCCACAATATCATCAATTTATGTACAATCTTCAAAAAGTTTAGTGAGCACCAAACAAGTGACCTAGGTGAAAAAGATTCTTAAAACATTCATTTAAGAATTAATTTTAAAATAACAGAATTCCCAATGATTTAAAGCCATTATTTTCTGTGTTTTTGTTCGCATACATTAATTATGATCTTTGTTCCGTTCGTGCAATATTTACAATGCCACTAAAAAAACAAAAATTTTCGAAGAATATTCATTCGTAAATTTAAAAATCTCTAACCCACCGGTCAAGGTACAGTACTTCAAAATTTAAAATTAAAAGTCAACGGTGGACATCGAAGAACCCTCTAAATGTTTTGACTCATTAGTTATGTACTCACGATAACTAACAACTTTTGTAATCTTAATTATTTTATAATATGAAATTCCATCTCTAATTGTTACCAAAGATAAACTGTTAAGTGATTTGTGTATAAATTTGAGCATCTCCACAAATAACATTTGTATGATTGGTATTTGGGAATTTTCTACAATGAACTTTTCATTATGGAGACAAATGCAAAGATCAGAAATAAACATTAAGACATCCACTTAGTCACAGTAACCCATTTGCAAACATTGGAAGTCAAATTTTGAAGTGCAACAACAATAGATTTTTTTTTTTAATCTATATTAACAAATTATGCCAAGACAAGAATCAAAACAGAAATCATAAGACTGGCCATTTCCAAAGCATGGAAGACAAATGGAATGTATAGAAGAATAAACATTTATTGGTGTTTACATATTAGAAGTTTCCGCTTCCAAGCACGTTCGGATTCCCATACCCCTTCTTTGTGGACTCTCGACCGTAACTGTTCACGGCATAATTTGTAATGTGTAATGTAAACCATTACGGTTGAGGGAATCCAAAACCACTCAGATTTAGAAACTTGAAATAAGTAAACTCTTCTATATAATTATTTTACCATTTCATAACACTCCACAAATTTTAAATTTTGTAAACAACGTATTTGCTCTACCAGAATATAAACTATTTTAAAAAATGGTAGAAACATGCTTACGTGTCCAATAATCCTTCCCGTCTTTCCTCGTATCAATTCGAGACCGTCTGCATTTTTCTTCTGAGGCATCAAACTGCTACCAGTACTAATTTTTCATTTTATTCAATTTATTGTTTTCTTTTTAGTATTAATTTTACTTTAAAATCATGACCAAATAATAAAATATTTACCTGTAAGCGTCCGAAATGGTGACAAAACCGAATTCTTTGCTGCTGTAAATAATTAGGTCCTCTGCCAATTTGCTCAAGTGCACGGATGTCAACGATGCCCAAAATACAAATTCTGCTAAAAGACACATTAAAAAGTTTTTTCTTCATTTCCAGAAAAGTTCTCCAAGATACAAATGCACGAGCGACAAAGGTGGCCACTCTAGTGTTGGCATATGGCATTTACAAGATTCCACATTTTATAGAAAATATGCCATCATCTAAATGGGGGAGTTATCACGTTTAAGATTATGGGTTCCAACTTCATTTTTAAGTTTTTTCCGCCACCCCTTTTTTTGCATGAAACTAGAATTCATTTTAAAATTGAAATATTATGAAAGAAACTAACAATTGATTTCCAATTTCTCAAAATCAGAATGGAAACATGTATTATAGGCATAAAGTAAAAATTCCAACTAACTTATAAAATGTGGAATTTTCCAAAAAACTACCTTCGTAAAACATGAAGTACTAGGTGGGCCAGTTGCGTGCAGACCATGTCTCAACTAACAATAATTCAGAAAGAATTGCACACTAAATCGATGTCCTTTTTCTTTTTCATTAAAAAAAGAGAAAAGACTACTGTATATCCTCTACGTACAAGAGATCACTACATACTTACAGATGTTAACAAGTTAATATGAAACCACAATGATATTTAAGTGACAAAAAATAAAATTTACCTATAAAATCTCTATCGCCAACGGCGTGCATGCTATTTTGAGTGCAACCAGAAAAATTCAATTCTGCAAAGAATCAAAGTTTACTGAAAAGCTTTATAAAGGGGAAAAAAATAATTGCCAAATTACCTTCTGCTAATAATTCCCGATCCACAAAGGGATTTCCGGCCAGAGCTCCGCTAAAAAATTACATATTATTGCAACCAATTTTAATATTTAATATTTTTAAAATGCAGAATAAAGACTTCTTACCTCCCCAAAGGAGATACGTTAACTCTTTCCTTCAAGCACTCTAATCTTCCTGCATCTTGTTGAAAATACCAGGCATAACTACAGAAGATAAAGTTTATTCAAATAATTAGAGAAAATAAAGAAATTAAAATTTATTGATTTATCCATTAATATTTTAATACAAAGAATACAATATATATAAATAGTTTTTACCTAAGAAGCCAGTGACTCCATCTTACGGGTTGTGCCCTTTGAAGGTGTGTGTAACCAGGAAAAATAATATCTATTTCCCTATTTGAAAATTTAAAAAAATAAGAATACAATTTTTTTCCTTTTTGTAAGAAAATTTGAAATGTTTAAAAAGAATATTTTAAATTTTTAATTAAATGAAATAACTGTTAGTATTACATCATGTTTATCATCAAACAGATATCAATAAATATCAAGAAATATTTTATAAACTCTTTTACAACTATAACTTTAAAAAAATTATTGATTTAACTGTACAAGCCCTACTACTAAATTATTTGTCTTTTTATATAATAATTTCTATACGTTACAGAAATTTGCTTTGTGTGTGCATATAAGCAAATTTACGGAATTTATGTATATCCTCGGTGGCCAAACTACAGCTCACGAGCACATGTGGCTTGCTCTTCTAGATCCTTACTGCTGCTCCCATATAGTCAGTAAGTGACCCATGTAAAGGGAAATTGTAAGTCGTAGAAACATTTTTTTTTTCTGCAGAATCCCAGCACTGCAATCCACATTTTCTGATACACGGTTACAACACTGAGATGTATTGTTGCACAAGGATGGTGTAGGTGTGTGGATTTTCGAGTATGTCGAGAGTAAGTGGAGAGCAAAGTCGGTTAATTTTCGGCCGTTGTTCGGTATGGATGTGAGTCAGCTGGAACGACGTGCATATGTAAAAATTGCAGTGCTTCGTGGGTAAAATGCAAGGAAATGTTACACACAACTCTTAGAAGCTGTCGGTGAGCATACTCACCCATACAGAACTGTTACAAGGTGGGTAACAGCTTTCGATCATGGAAGAATGGCAACTGCTGACATGCCTTGTACCAATGTCACTCATGCCGTGATTACCCAATTCTTACAGGACAAAGGGCGACAGTCTCTACAGAAGTTGGCAACACAAACGGGTATTGATCAGGTAACTGTGTATAAAATTTTATGAAACAATCTGCAAATGTGCAAAATTTCTACCAAATGGTGCCAAGTGCACTGACAGAACTCATTGATACCCAAGTTAATTCGACACATTTCATAATGTGTTGTATAAACTTGCAACGATATGAACACAAAGGAGACACCATGCCAAACAGGATCATTGCCATTAACAAAACCTGGACCTATGAACCCGAGCTCAAACGTCAGTCTGCCGAATGGCAATACCCAGAATTGCTGCAGAAGCACAAAGTTTGTCAAAATCTGTCTCTGGTGAACTTAATGGTCACTTTGACTTAAGGCATTTGAGGAATTCTTTTGTGTCGTTTTGTTTCACGCAGTCAAACTCCCAATGCAGCCTACTACACCACTTATCTGCAGAAACTACACCACATAATCAGGAATAAAAGTACCAAATTGCTGCACAATGCAATCATCCTTCACGATAATGCTACAGCCCACACTGCACAGTGTATTAACAACTGTTTACTGCACTGGAGATGGGAAGTACTACTTCATCCCAACTACTTCCCAGATCTTTCACCCTACGATTATGATTTGATACCCAAGTTGAAAGCTCTATCGCATGGGAAACGATTCCGTAAACAAGAAGACATTGCCAACGCAGTGCAACACGAGATTACCAGATTGGACAATGGATGGTATTCATTGCACTTCTTGTCATCAACAGCGATATCATTGGAAATTACTTTGAAGGTTGTTAATTTAATCAACAACTCATCCAGAATTTCATTTCAACGTATTTGAATGACTTGTTTTCGTTCCGCAACTGTTGAAAATTGTTCCCCATCTTTGTAAGTAGATCTATGAAGAAACTCCCACAGAATCCTTAGTTTCGGGTTCTCTGAGTTGACATCCATTTGGTATGTTTCTTGTTTTTCCAATGATTATTAATAGTAATGTATCTCTTTGTATGCTATAAACAAACATTTGATATAACTTCATTTTCATACTTTTTTCTATGGTTGTGCATGAAATTTACAGTGAACTTATAATTTGTGACTACAAAACTATTTAACATATCAAAATAATAGATATAATTGATTACTTTTGCATGTTATCATTTCATTTAAACAATTTATTTATTTACAATCTAAAAATACCACTTGAACTTATACTTTTGTCTACTTAATGTTCATTTTCAGTGTCAATGTATTATGTAGATTATACACCAAGTCCTCACTTACCATAGTTTTGTGTAACATCATTTAATTATAATGTCTTTGAAAAAGATTATAAACAGTAAAATTGTTTATACAAAGTGGGAAATACAGGGTGTCCAAACAGTTACTGCATAATAGAAAAGTTTTAATAAAAGTGAAGTTTTACTACAATATTGCAGTTTTGCCTGCAACAAATGCCAGAAATGTCTCCTGGAGACTCCAAAATCTGGGGAGAGGTTCCAAGACCCAGCAGGCCAGATTCCATGAGAGATTATGTGATTTTTAAGCAGTTTTCTGAAAACTGAAGTCTAAAAAAACAGAATGACTGTGAGCGAGCAGACTTACGGTTCTCTTATGCAATGCTGTGCACATAACTTTAATGTTGTTACAAATTTCTTGTTGAATGGTAACTTTTCAGACACTCTGTAAACACCCAAGAAGCGCCACAATAGAAAGGCATAAAATATCACATCAAAACCATGCTCTTTTTTTTATGGACATAAGAGAACAAAAATTATGGCATCATTTTGCTTAACGTTCCAGTTTCTGAGAACCCGACAACATTAAGCAAGGTTAAGTTTCTGTATAAGTATTTAAAATGTTTAGAGCAGTGCTTCACAAACTTAGTATGGTGGACTGGAATTATTTCTGCGAATATATTATTGTATCGTATTTGAATGCCAGACAACAGTACACTCGTAACTAATACTATAACAATGCAACTATCAATATTTTACTACGTTTTCTTTCCCGTAAACTTACCGTCGGATCGGCAGCCGACAGCTCTCGAACCAATGCCGGTCCGCATACCAACACTTTGAGAAGCACCAATTTAGAAAACGTCTCTTGTAAAAGTTAAGAATGAATTCTTAAATACCTTTTGGCACGTTCACGTAAAGAACTTATAAGATTTATCAAATAATATTCCAGTGTATCGATTTCATTCGTTAACCACAACCTCATATCTGTAGACACCTTAATTTAAAAAAATGCAAGTGTTTTTGAATATAGAAACAATATAAGCATATAAAAATGATACGAAGTAATACCTGATCATTTCTGCTTCTTCCGGTATGAAGCTTTCCCCCTACATCGTTACCGATTAATTCCTAAAAATATTCAGTATAATAATAAATTCTAAAATAGATTACACAAACTAATTCTTTTTAACACTACATCATCTCTGAATTAATTTAACAAATATAAAATCGGCATCTACCTTTAATCGCCTTTCATTTGCTGAATGAACGTCCTCGTCTGTATCTCTGATTTGAAACTTCTCTTCGGCCCATTCTTCTTTTATCTATTGCAACTTTAATATTAAATAAAAATTTATATTTTAAAAGTATATCGAGTTATATAATTATTAAACACCTTTTCAAGAGCATCTCTCATCTGACGGCACTCATTTTCGGATATTAACTTTGCTTTTTGTAAAGCATTTGCGTATGCTTGACTTGCCTTGAAAGCAATAAAAAATAAATAATTTTTTATGTTACAAGGCTGTGAAATTATTGCTAATGATTAAAATAATCATAAACTATCAAACAGAACACATGCATACAATAATTGTCTAAATATGTCTAATATGTTACAAAATCCTTGTAATCGATGCATTGTATACATGAAAATTGTATGTAAATTTTCACACACAGAAATGTGCATCTCTGTAGAAAAAATTATGGTTATGGTCTCAAACAGATGCACAAAAGCCAAAATCGCACACATTTTAAAATCACGTTCAATAATACTCGAGAATTATTGTATCGAGCTTGATCGGTAGAGTTTATCTTGGACCGTACATCTTCCACATGCTTCTCTTTTAGCCTAGATTTTATAGCTCCCATGTAATCTTATAGTCAAATTATTAAGGAGGGGCTTGACGGAATACAACAATGCAACATACAGTCAATTTGCTAGGGGAAGAATTCCACTGTTTACCGGAACTTTCTACACAGAAACTGACCTCTATCTGGGTGTTAAGACACCTGAAAAAACCTGGAAAACTCTACATAATAGCTACAATTACTATCCTATGATGCAACAGAAGTTACATAAATAATAATAATAGAAATTGTTATACTGTAGTTGACATATTAATGCTAATAATAAATGTTATTTATGTAACAATAGTTAAGAGTAGCAAAGTGTTATTTTGTTGAGATGTTCCCAATTTTCTGGCGAATTAATGCAGTCGGTTCTTCATTCCTCTTTTGCGTTTGCCCACACACAGTAGCCAGACAAACAAATTCCTATATAATGTATACAATAATTGTTTCAAAACGTTTTCAATTACAGTTTAAAAATCTGTTTAAAGGTAATTTTTTTATGTATCATTTAATAAAGCAAATTTAAAAAGCTAAAGACAGTCTACTAACTAAAGTGACAGCCCATCACTTCACAAAATCAATCCAGATCAGTTGTAAAACACCTGGAATTTTTTGGGCAGTCCATCTGGATACATTGGACTCCATCCCTTACCTCCTGACTACCCCGTCGTGGGCCTTTATGAAAGTCACGTGCACTTCAATCATACGACTTAAATATAGATTTATTTACAAGCATACCGTCAGATCAACTTTCCACAAACGTTTATCAAATCCAATAGAAGCGTTGAATTTTTCCATAAGAGGATGAAGCTTCCCGGAGAAACGACCTCCCCATAATTTTTCATCCTGTAACAGTACGGGATAAAACAATTTAGCTGGATCGCCTATATTCATTACTTACTTTCACAGTTAAAAATAAATATTTTTTTCTTCCTCATTGTAAAAATAAAAAACCAAATTAATGATAATAAATGTAACAATTGAAACTTTAAATAAATAAATCAATTAAAAATACAGACAGAGCATAAAGTACCATTATACCCAATCCTTGTAAAATTGAGCCTTGAGGAATACCTGTTAGCGACAAGAACCGTTGGAAGAAAACGTCAAAGATTTTTTTCGTGTGTGGTACAAAGTAATTATTGAGCCGATCTAAGATTTTGCCATCCGTATAAAATTCAGTTTTTGAACTTTTTCCATAATAATTTAAGTGTCCCCATGGGTAAAAATCGAGAGGGTTAAAGTCCGCCGACCGTGGAGGTCGCTCCACAAAACTGCAACGACCGATCCGCAAACGCGTAAACCGGCAATCTAACTTTCCTACATATCCTGCATAATGGATAGTTACGTTCCAAATTTATATTGTTTTGATAAAATGTATTTAATGTCATTTTAAACTTCAGTAAAAATTAATATAAACAGAATAACGATAAATACTTTATCGGTAATTTGTTATGTATTTCAGACAATGTAATTACTTGATAACGCAGCTGACATTTGTTTCACAATTTATTTCTATCGAATAATTAAATATAAGTAACAATACTTTTAAATGGGATTAAGTATTATATGAAAGTATGGATAGGAAATTGTGTATGTTAAAAAAAAAATTATATATTTGTGCCTTAAACATAAAGGAAGTATGAGAATTAATTATTTTATTAACAATAAAATTATATCACAGGTTTTTTTAAAAGAAAACATTATTAATTACTTACATTCTGTGAACTTTCTTTATCCATATCAGAAGTGAAACCGGATAAGACAGGTTTGCATCACTACAGGAAATTGCAATCAAATGATAAAAAAAAAAAAATAGCTTAGTGGGAAACTACATTCTGTCGTTTCGTAACACCAGGCAATTTAATTAAATACTTTTGAATTAATAAATTAAATTATACAACTTCAAAGATACCATTTAAAAGAATTACAATTTTATTTAATTCTATTTAAACTAGCATTCTGTACAGAATACATAGGTTTACTTTACAATATATGTTTCATGATTGTCTAGCAAATATATCTTTATATATAATATATAAACGAATGAAAATTATTTCGTAATGAAAAAATAAGTTTATTAAAAAAATATTAATCCATTAAATAAAATTAATTAAATTTACAAAGAATAAAAAAAAAACCTATAATTTGCAAAATTATTTTTCATACTTTTATATATTTTTATTTTTCTAATTCAGCTATACAGATATTTCTTACAGTATACTTGGTTTTGTTAAGATATTCAATACAACTATAAAGTCACAAAAAATGTATATTGTTCTCTAGGTAACAGTAGATGACGATTATGTTATTAAAAAAAATATCGGAAACAGTGTGTTGTAAATTTCTTGTACTTTTATATATTAAGGTGGCTCCGCGCTTTTGGTATTCGCAGAATAACTGCCTATTTGTCCCTTTCCGTTTGGCATGTTATAACGCGCCACTCGGTATTGCTCGGCGCTCGGCGTTCGGCGAATACTGAACGCATGGAGCCGCCTCTACGGTAGCCTTTACAATGACTGCGAGTGAAGAACTCTTTGATAATACGAACACAATTATACGATCCATAAAAATATGGCATTTGTTCATTTCGAAAAATCAAAAATCAAACGTGCGGCTCTTGGCCGGCAATTTTAAGAATTCTATTCGTTACTAGCGTCGAGAGTGCGGACAAATTGCAAAGTAATAAATCAACGTTTTGCAATCTTCTAAGGGATGTCCAAAAAGTTACTGTGAGTGAAAATTTCTAATGATGTTAAAGTTACGCCGTACGGTATTGCATACAAGTTACAGGTCTTTTGTGCAACAACATGATGCTTAACTTCGATGTTGTTATAACTTTCTCGCTGCATGGTAACTTTTCAGACACCCCGTAACGAGTCGTGGACGTTCAACATACGGGTAATCCTTTGTTAATGCACTTAAATGTAAGGATGCGCTTTAATTATGGACAAGTTTTGTACTGTAAACCTCATTTTGGTATAATGCGGTTCAGGGGTCGTTACGGGTGCCGTGCGGAGAACATGCCACATTTGAGGAATGTCTAACGCATTAACCAAAGACTATCCGTATACTTCTTTTATGCCGACTCTACTTAATAGAACTCTTTACAGTCTCTAATTATCATCATTTGATTTGTAATCATTAATTTACACCTCAAATTACAATTTTCCAATACAATTCTTTCATTAACAATATAATTCTTTAACACAAAATAAAATTTGTGGTTTTGCATTTTATAATTATTTCTAAATTAGTTAATGGCAGGGAACAGTTTCCAAAAATGAAATTATAAGATTAATTAGCATCAAAGAAACTCGGTTAATCAATACTTTCTCACACTTATTTTAGCGATCATCTGTCGTCACTCGCTCGGTGAATAAAATCTAATAAAATTAACAAAGTAATATTTTACTTTTTACAAAAATATTTCATAAAGTAAGACATTACAAAATCAAAACATTAATTTATATTATACACTTTAAAAGGATTATATAGATCAAATTTTGTAAGTTCGGAAAGATTAATGGTGTCACCGACACGTGTAATAATCCACAAACGTAAAACAATTTATAATTTACATCCTCCTACAAAATCCAGACGTTAATTTTGAAAATAAAGCTTATATTCGTGCAATTCAATCTTATCGACCGGTTTTGCAACTTCGGAAATCTTCACTTTTTAGGCTCGAAAATTTCCTTTCTTAAAATATTTACAGTCAGTAAACCATTAAAATTGGAGAATTTATACTAGTTCCTAATAAATAAATGACTCGCCGCCGATTTAAAAATATTTACGAAAAATTCAATATTCCACTTATTCCATAAACGAGACCCATTCATAGCCCACTTTTAATTGAAAAATAATTGCTATTTGTAAAATTTGAAGCGCTTTGGCCCGATAAAACTCACAAAGAAACAATGTTTGATTTTCGACATTTCTCCGATTTCTGCGTACGAAATTGTTATTGTGCAAAATTAAACATTTAAGAAGGTTACAAAGTGCAGAGACGAAACTGATTTAACTCTCCATCAAGACAGACTGACATACTCATTTGGATTTCAAATTTTCTGTTATTGCTAATATGCTTAATGTCGTATTATTCCCATATTCCTATGACGAACGCTTGCGCGGGAGAGATTCAGAAAGTTTTCGGTGATTCGCCGTTTGTTTATATATACTATTCTAGATTAATTAATAGCAATATAACGTTATCTTCTCTCTAAAGTTAATGTTACATTGCTCTTAATTTTAGAGTAATGAGAAATTGGCTTAATTTTTAAATAAAATTACTACGTATAAAGTGTAATTGCGAAGAAAGATTTAACTTGTTAGATCTAAGTAGCGTTTGTAGAGCCAATGTACTGTTGTTTAATAAATACTACATTCTGTTTACAAGCAAAATTATTACAAAATATTACGTTCGTGAAACTATAATGCCAATAACTTTGAGATTATTTACTCGACTCATCATAAAAATGAGTCGGGTAAATAGAATTTTGAAAATAAAGACAAGAGGACATTTTGAAAACCTTCTGAATCCGCCTCGATTTTAATTCCCGAATAAAAAGTATAAAATTATTTTCAAGACAAAAATGGCTAAAATATTATGGAACAACACTCAGATCAAGAAAGAGATAATATAATAATTGATATATATATATATTTTTTCACTCTCTCCATTGGAGAGGATTTAAAGTCTGATTAGTTACTAATCAAACTATAAGTTTTCAAAGTAATCTATGAATTTAAGGTTATATAATTATATCACTTTTTACATCACAGAATAAACTGTATATCAAATAAATTCCTATAAGAAAATCCGATATAATATATTTATTTATATATGTATTTATATTGGGCATATTAAGTAATGTTATATTATATACAGGCAATTTGAATAACTCAACCCTGCCTTTCGTATTTGATAGTATGTCGAAGTACAGTTGATGCTTTGTTAGATAAAGTTTTAAACTATAAAACTAAATGCTTAACGTTTATATAATATTGAAATGCTTTTCTTTCAAATTATAAAATGTTCGGCCAATGAATATTCTGTTTTTTAAAAGCAATGCTAAAAAATTGTTTTAATGGATGCTTCCGAACTCGCCATCGGTTTGTATAAAAACATCTGATTGACGAACATTTATAAAAAGATGTTTTCAAAACGCATTGAATTTTTCTAAAGGGACAATAAAATCAATATAATTAATTGTGTTTTTCCTTGTTTTCTAATTAAACTATTCAACAACAAACATTTTTCTAATTGGTAAAAATTCATCGTATAATTTATAAATTAAAAGTGAATTATAGCCCTATTGCCATTAAAAATTTAATCTTGTATTCTAAATTGTTACGTAAATAAAACAGTTTTACTTAAAAACTGTATAAAATTTCAATTTGAAAAAGACAGAGTTGAGTTATTCGAAACGGCCTGTGTAAAGTATATATAATATGATGTTTGTATACAGTATAATACATGCAGTTTTTATATATGTGGCAGTATATTTGGATATTATTTTAGGCAAGAAGTTTGTCCACAAATATATAAATCAAACTGTAATGTCGAAGCTTTAAACCTACCCTTTACTTTCTTTTAACTATCCTTCGAAAGATCGACCGAATGTCTCTAATTCTTGAGCAACTCGTTTACGATTCTTTGAAATTCTATTTAAACCTGGGAAAAATTATCACAGGTGACTACTACAAGAATCATCTGCAACGTCGGGTTTGCTTAAAGATGTTAACAATTTAAATTTATCATTTGAAGTTTTGGGAAATATACATTCTAATTCTTGATTTGGATTGTCTGTCGAAAACTGTTGTGATTTCTCAGAATCTTTATTCGAATTTCTCGACCTACTCTCCGTGCCCGTCCCCATTTTGTGTCTCCGGTCATCTTCAGAAGAACCATTAGTTCTTGAATATAATCTGCAGTCGGATAAATGTAAGGAGGCGTTATCTTCGCAATGCAGAGCACCCTTTGAAAAATTTGAACTGTCGGATAAATTCACATTTTTATTTAAATTTGGACTCTTTCCATGTCTTGATATGAAATGTAAACATTCAAAATTATTTGGAGAGTTATTACTGTGATGACGTCTTTCTCCTGTTTCGGAACATATAGAACCAGATCTCGAAATACCACTTTTAGAATTAGACGGGCTGGATTCTTGATAAGGCGACGTTGCGTGAAGGGCATACTGTTCGGAAATATACGCTTGTAATCCGTCGGAATTTGAATCCGGACTTATAGATATGCTGTGCGGACAGCCAGTGCCGAGACGATTGACTTTGGCAGCGGCGCTACAGTGTACGGCGACAACGGTTGCAGGAATTGGAGTACACCCGTCTTGAGATTCTAATGAGACAGATTTTAATTGCGGACGTTCGTCGGTTAGTTCTGAGGAATTTCTAACGACCAAGCATAGAGAAGCGGGACGTTGGAAGACACCGTCGGAGGAATCGAAAACTTTTTGATTACTAACTTCTGTTTTATGTACACGGTCACATTCCTGAAACGCAGGATTATTAGTGGCACCTGACTGATATGATACAGAATAATTTTTTGACTTTGAATTATTCTCGATATTACTTTCATTTGCTGGAAGATCTCTTTCAAATTTACTTTTCTTTTTCTTTTTCTGGTGTCCTAATGAAAATTTACGAAGGTGTTGAAGAGTTTTATCAAATGAAGTACTTTTTCTTCTTCCACTAGTCACCGGTGTAGAAACATTATCACATGGAAGTCCATCTTGGAAGCTAGAATTATTTGTAACGCACGGTTTTGCAGTTTGATCTTCAATTTGTTTTATATGTAAAGTATTAGAATCTAAACAAAAATCTACTTCCATAGAACTCGAATCACTGCTCGAAGGACTAAACGTGCATTGTTCGTATGTAGGACTGGAACTGCTCGAAGTTTCACTACCTTCTCCCATCCACGTCGGATCGGGATATGCTTTATTAATTGACTTATTAGTATTAGAAGTTTGTAAACTACATCTCTTATTGTTGTCTTCTCTTCTTGACAGAGAATTTTGAGGTTGGTCCAAAATCTCACTGCAAGAATGGTGCTTGTAGCGACAATTGTGCTTTGCTTTCTTATTGATAGAAGAGTTGTTATTTTTATTAGTAGAAAAATTACCACACTCATTTGGTGAGATGCACTCGTTAGGCAAAATATTTCCGTTCGCTAAATCTTCTTCGCACAATGCAGTAGAAACGATGCTACCTCCTTGACCGATTCGCAAAATTGTAACATTATTAGGCATATAGACAGGCGCATCTTCGTAATGTGCGTCCGATCTTAAGGTATTTATGTCATTATCACTTATCATACTAACGCTAGAAATGCTTGCTAGTCGTCCGTGTCTTTCTGCCTGTTGACAGTTTGAAGTGTCCGAGGTGTTAGAATTTAAATAAGTGTTGGGTAAAATTGTCGTAGAAAGAATAAGTGATGGAATTTGTTGTGGCTGGGGTCTCTGTTGATCATTTTCAACATTTTCATTTTCATTAGAATTTCTTATAACTGCACCATTATAATTAGGAAGAACTGTGCCAACGGATGCTTCGTACGGTGGTGGGGCTTCTCCCGGAGGAATGTACGTTCCAGATGGTTTCCAAAAGGCATAAGGTGGTGGCGGTTCGCTACACTGTGAGAAATCAACGTGATCTCCTCCAACTAAATAACCTACACTTCCTTCGTCGTCCAGTGGATATCTCTGCGAGCCATTTGGACCATTATCGACACGGCGAGCGTGAAAACCTATTAAAAATGATTACAATGAAATTAAATCACATCATTAGTTCTGTATTTAACAAAATTTTATTATTATTCTTCCAATCAGTAATTAGCCGCAAACTACCAAAAATAATTTTATACGCATGTACATTTGTAAAGAAAGACTATTTAAATCGTATTCATTAACTGTTCAAAAATGATATTTTTACATCTTTGAATTATTAGTTAACTCCATTATTATTTAATGAACCTTTCAGTCTGTTAAATTAGATTGTGACTCCTTGAAAAAAAATGTTCTATTTTACTTTTGATTTATAATTGTTGTTACTTTTTATGTATTAAACATATTAGAACAACTTCAGTTAAGTTCTGAAAATGGTTTAAAATCACTTTCTAGACATTAAAAAATGACTGACATGCATATGATATGTTGAAACATCTTAATAAATTTCTTGTTTGTTTTCAGAAACTTTCACGACCTTAGCCAGAATCACTTTGAAAATATACTATCATGTGACTTCAGTTATTTACAATAATTCATGTAATAAATTCATATAATTTTAATATATAATAAAGCATAGTAAATTTTTTAAAATGATACTACTAAAACAAATATTTAAGTCTTTCAAAACAACTAATCTGATAAACGATTAATTAAACATCTCTCTTCTAATGAATATTATGTACTAACATCTGAATAATAATTTTAAAACATTTGCATCCATGTAAAAAATTAAATAAAATTTAAAAAATATTTCTTTTGTCTCTCCAAATTATAAATAAATAAATATGCAATTATAGCTTTAAAAAATTTATGTGTATTTAGTTTGTTTACTATATTTTTATTATAGATATATCATGTTTTGGTTTATTTAAATTTAAAACATGCTAAGGACAACTAGAAACTTACGTCTTATCATTAAGAGAAGGCGACGCTGATGAAGTCTGTGTATCATAAATAACAACAGGGCAAGAATCAGAAAAGACGTGACAGTGCTCGCTACGAGACGCAATCCAAGATTTGTTGCATTTATTGTTTCTGTGTCTGAAAGGATAAATTTAATTGAAGTTAAAATTACTATGTTGTAATTAATAATGAAAACTAATTTATTTTCTAAATAACACTAAATTTTTTGTTCTAAATTTTAAAATTTAGAGCAAACAGTTTATACAAAATTTAATTTTGTATAAATCATGAACATAATTTGATATACTTTATGGATATTCTATTCAAAAGAGATTTTAATTTATATAGAATATATTTCAGTATTTAATTCAAATCTAAAGTAAATATAAAATAAATAAATGTATTGGAAAAGTTTCCATGAGACATAATGCTAGTACTTAAAAAAATGTAATTGAATCTAAGACGACAGAAAAATATTAAATGAGAAAATTTCTTGAATGTTTACAGTTATTTTATCTATCCTTTTCAAAAATTTTCCTTTACTGCCTTCTACTACTACAAAATTCAAGCAGTATTATTTTGAGGATAGAAATAAATTATCTCCAAAAATGTTCAATTAAATAATATTTTCTTATGACTACAAATAAATTTACATTTTTAAGTTGTTTAATTTTTGAAAAAGAAATTTTACGGTGAAATCATATGATCACAAATACTATTCTGCATCTTCTATAATGATCGAACAATAAATCATCATATTAAATAATTAAAAGTACAATTTGTATTTTTTCCCCCTCTTTCTCATTCTTCTTCTTCTTGGTGCCATATCAGATTCCTGACGTCGGCGACACCTGGCGTAGGTTTGTAATCCGCCAAGGTGTATACTAGGGAAAGTTACTACCCAGAGTGGTTTCCCGTTGCCTTCTCTGGGGCGCGATGTTGCGCGAGGGGAACTAATGCCTTCCGGGAGGACTTTTATGGGGAACTGGCCTCCTATTTAGTCGTTATTGGCAAGGAGAAAACCCGGAAAACTCCAAGCAGCCAGCCTGTCCGATCGCGGTGCGAACCCACGACCGAACTCCCAGTGTTTAGGGTACGAAGACCACTCGGCCACTGGTGGGCAAGTCTTTCTCATTAAACTTTAAAATTATAGATCTTTTGGAATTTTTCCCCGCCAAGTAAAATTCAAAATTACTCATATAAAATGAAACATTTAAAACTTCACTTTTATACTATCATTATAAATATTATATTATTCCTTTCCCAGCTGTTATATATAACAGAGGAAATGTATGGCAATCGGTCAAAAAATGTCTGGCAAAGATTTTTACATTTTTGGACTCGGGACCTTGAAATGTTGAGAAATGCAAAAAATTTGGGGATTTTTTTTTCTTTATGTATGGATGTTTGCATTTGTTTGTGTATGCATGTGGGGCATGACTTTGTTTACCATGTTTGAAGCTTAACTCCCATAATTTTTGTCATAAATTTCTGAAATTTTGCATGGAGGTTTGTTTATTAGGGAGATTGATGCTACTAAATTTTGGTGATTAAAGGTTGTGGGGGTGAGGAGATAAAGTGGATCGTGTGTATCTCCAGTAGGGTCGGACTTAATTACAATTTTGTTATTAGCATTCACAATTTTTTTTTATAAAAACCCATTTTATAATTATTAAAAATATAAAGAGTTTTTTTAAATAAAATATAACAGATGGCACAACCAAATGTTGCTAGGAAAATTAAGCAACTCATTGCTAGATTTTTCTCATTAATTAACCAATATTAAATAAATTAAACCAAGAATTGTAAATTTATTTATTTTTTATTAATTATGAAAATGATTAGAATTTATAATTCTTGACTTCTATTACAAAAAAGAACATTTAGTTTGTATTTTTGTTTGTGGCAACATTGTATTTTGTGAAGTTTTGCAGACAGGTTTGTTTTTGGATTCACAGTGTCATTGAATTTCATCTTTTCTCTCAACATTTGTTCAGAAAATTATTGTTTCTTTTTATTTACATATTTATTTATGGTCATTTTAGCAAACGAATCTATGATTTCATTACTACAGACAAAGGTATCACCAAGAACACAACATATATTAACTTGACATTCAATTACTTATTTGAGAAGCTGGGGGTTGAGGCACGAGACTTAACCCTTTCTCTGATGTTGGTTCTTTGAAGACATCTCACAGTGTCAGTGGATGGCAATTGTTATGTTATGCATTTCTCTGCGGTTCTCAATTTTTATTTAGTTAGTGCAAGTGAGAGGGTTAGTGAGGTCGTCAATAAGATGTTGGCGATACATGAGAGAAATCAACCATTGTTAAAATTCAACAAATTAAATATAAAAACTAAATGATTACAAGCCTGAATAAATTCTAGAAATACAGGTCTTCACGTTCCAATGTACTTACAAACTAACAAACCAAGAGAGAATTTACTTAAAATCGGTTAATCATCCTACCTCTCTACTGTTATTCAGTAGTTGAGAGGCAAATGTCTGGGGAGACGATCTGAATGATAAGTTACAAAATAAAAGAATAATCCTTGGTGAACGATCGCCCCAAAGATTGGGTGCATGATCATTATATCCCCATCAGGTGTGGGAATTTGATCAGGTGACCTTGTTTAGTAGCGATGACACTCCATATGTGTCATCGCTGGGCCGGCTAAGACAGTGGGAATATGACTAATCCAGGCAGATGGTTTATTATTTCTTTTGATTGATGTTATATTCTCACTGTGTAATTGTTTAAGAGTCCACATTCCCATCTATCAACAATTAGTTGTTAAAATTCTATCCCCAAAACTTCTCAGGTTGAAGAGAGGAGGGAGGCTTGTTACCTTGAAGACTCTGTACTAACAGATGGATGTTGATAGTTAAGCTAATTCTGTGAGAAACAGACGAAATAAAGAAAAGTTTCTTATAATTTGGCTTTTAGCTAACATTCTACTGAAAAACAATTTCCTGAATCTCACACTTTCCTTTTGGAAACATAAATGAATAAAGCAATTTAAATTATTAAGAACAGAAGATCTAAATAACAACTTGCAACTGGCTAAAACAGACTAACTATTGTTAATATTTAATCAAAGTTCATTCAACGGAATACCGGTAATTTACCACTTCCAATCAAAAATCTAATGATGCACGAATATTTAAAAAATATTTAGAAAATCTTATTATTTCCATTTACTTTCAATATTTGTTTAAAATGTAATTATTGTCACTCGAAATACATCACTTTAAATTGTCTTGCTACAGATCATTTGAAAAGAGTTCTGTAAAATACAATGGAACAAGTCTATAAAAAGACACAAATAAAAAAAACAGACTTCATTAAGAAAGGATTAAAAGATAAATAACAAAATTTATTGATGCTGTAACAGAAGCAATTATTTAACATATATATTCACCAAATAGCAAAACCCTGCAAAGTTTTCTAATCTGTTTTTCTTAAAATAACCCAACCTTGGTCACCAGCTAACAGATTAATAAATCTACAATTTGAAAAGTTTAATCCATCTGATATCTCTCAAACAATTAATAAAATATTGTTAAATTATAGCATTGTAACAAATTCAACAACATTAAATGTTCCTTTAAATTTAGTCCAAATACATATAGGAATTCTACACTTATAAATTTCTAATGTAAAGAATACTATCAACATCTAACTGAAGCAAATATACTATGCTTGTGTTCACTATTATGAAAATTTTTCTAAACGTATAAATTTTATTTCTATAAAACTATAAAAAAAAGAATGATTTAGTATATAAAACAAAAAGAACACAGCAACATTTGATGGCGCCATCTGTTATGATATTTTAGTAAAAAACTTTTTATATTTTTTTTAATTATTATAAAATAACAAAAAAATTAATTGTGAGAGTAGGAATGGGTTTTATAAAAAATTGTAAATGCTAATAATGAGTAAAATTGTCATTAAGTCCGACCTTATTCAGGATATGATAAGACCTTATTCTCCCCATCCCTTGACCTTTAACTGCCAAAATTTAATAGCATCAATTCCCGAATACGCAAACCTCTCAGCAAAATTTCAGAAATTTTTGACAAAAAGCACAGAAGTTATTAAGCTCCAAAGAGGGTGAACAAAACTGTGTCCCTCACACACATGCACCCACACATACAGAAAAAACCTCCAAATTTTTTTACATTTCTTGATGTTCCAAGGTTCCTCTGTCCAAAAATGTAAAAATCTCGGAGTTGTTTTCTAACCAATCGCCATACTTTCCCTCTGTTATATATAACAGCCAAAGAAGAAAAAAAAACACGTCTTTTAGTGTTAATGTCAAGACAACAAGTAAAACATTGCAAGCACTTTCAGTAAAATAAATTTATCACCAACAAGAAAAATTCGGGTTATGTATTTCAAAGTTATCCTTAATTGTGTTTATATTTGTTGTTTTATCATTAAAGTAGCACCATGGGATTACTTCTAATTTCTATTACTTTATCAAACAGAAAAACTAAGATTTATATTATTTAATTTTATATAAGTGTGAAAATTTGTAAATTTTTTATTTAAATGTCTAATTGTCAAGTATTGATAAATTGCAATAAAAGTGAAATAAAGAAAATAAAATCTGAATTCTGCTTTATTGGAACATACAATTAAAATCAATCATTGCTTCTCTAGCATTTCTGAGCAATCAAGTAAAGCAAATTTAAATTTTATTTTTAAAAAAACGATTTATTCATTCTAACTATAAATGAATTAATACACAAATTGCATAAAAATATTAAAAGACGATACCTTCTTTTCTGGTAATATTTCCGTTACCACCATACGTTTTATCCGAATGATCTCTGTCTAAACATACGAATTCACAGCATTTGTCACTGAGTGCGTGATACTGACGGCAATTCTCTGGAGGAGAGCAGAAGACAGAAATACACATTTCCGGTTTTCCATTTACGCAGGTGCACTGAGTACAGGGATCACTTCCGAGCGGAAAGTAACGTTCTCCCCGATCCACGATCTTCCCTCTGTGATCGAGACACGCACCTTCGGAAACAGACGAACCTATGAAAACAAAAATGTGATTTTTAGATACAATATAAAATAATGTTTTTCTGTTTTGTGTTCATTGTCAGAAACAAATGTTCATAACTGATTTAAAAAATACATAAATTTAAAATGGTAAAACAACGATTCATCTTTTTTGAAAGTGTAGATCGAAATCACCTATTTCATTCCTGCAATTTACTGTTCTTGCATTCCAAAGTCAAATGAATACTAAAACAAAAACATTTTGAAAGTAGAGAATACATGAAAAGCAATGCGACAGAGACTGGTACATTAAATTTAAATGAGGTTAAAAAATTCCATGCACAAAACCAAATGTGTAAGTTGGAAAAATTATTTTGAATAATAATAAAAGTTTTTCATTCTAGCATATATATGGTGTCCCAATAGCATACTGGATTTAACTGTGGAATAAAATGCATTGTTTATTGAATAACTGTGGATATTTTTACTTTTTACTAAAGTAAAATTACAACCCATTTCAGCGCTAAGTTACTTTTACATATGAAAGATGGTATCTGCCAAATATTCCTCGCAATTATGGTGGCACAAATGTACTCTTTTCACAAAATTACTCGTGATGTGTCCACATAATTCCGGCCCAGTTCTGCCATAATGCATCAAATCTCCATAACAAGTCAAGAATTGCCGGCAGGTTGTAGATATTGACATGAGATTTGACAAACCTCTATGTCAACAGCATTCAATTTACATCTGGCATTATTAATGGAACACCATTTAGTTTTCTTAAATATCAAGTATTATATGAATATTTATTAATGTTCACAATTCTAAAAGATTTTCAAATATTCAAACAAGTATATTAAATCATCATACAAGATTTTAAAGTTTCCATTCATTTCCCACTCAAAAATGTTTTGTTAATTATAACTGAATGGTGTGGAAGAAATTAATTTTTTTAATACATCAAGTGAACAGTCAGATTCCATTATTGGACTATTAAAACTAGATAATTACAAAGTAGTTTGGCAGAGGCCAGCCACCAGGATGCCATTTCTTGTTAATTATAAATAAATTTAACTTAAATCTTTTTTGAATTGCAATTTCTTATCTAATAATGATAAGTAATATTCTAAATTTTTTTGGCTATCGATTTAAATTTTGCTATTTTTAAGAATTTCAACAACAGCAGCAGTTGCCAACTTGTGTCAGTCAGTCAATCCCTCAACTCAAATCAATCCCTTGAGTATCCATTTTTGCAAAGACTCGCAAAGGAAAAATTACTGCACCTCTTATATGATTCTTTAAGATGCTAGTTCTAATGGTTAAGCTACTTAAAGGATTTTTATTATATTAATAGAAAAAGGCATTAATCAAAATATTTATCTTTAAATGAATAAGGCATTCCTCACTTATTTCTGGTTCTGTTCCTATGACTAGATTGTTAAGGAAATTGGTTTTTAAACAAGAAGCTTTTAATCATTTTTATTTATTCTGGATAAAGGAAACTCCAGCTTAAAACTTTGTTTTAATTTGCATCTCTTACATATTACAGAATATAAAAGTACAATCAGCAAAATTTATAAAAATGATGTACCAAAAACATTGAAGTTCAGATGAATATTTTAGTCACCAAATCCTTCAAATGCTTAATAAAGTACAAAATTATAAGCAAATTACATAGTCTTGGAGATTTGTGAACACTTCACTTAGTGAAGAAACTAGACTAAGATTAAGAAAGGGAGAGGTAGTTGTAAGTCTCAACAGTCATTAAGTGAAGAGTGGCTGTATTGTTTCCATATCTTTATTTACTTACATAAATTTGTACTGAATAATATAAAAACAACATAACTGACGTAACAAAATTCTCAACTGTATTAACTTCTTATGACTAGATATCCATAAATTACTAGAACACTACAAATACCTCTGTAAATTTGGTAAGATATTTAACATAACAATGATGCCAGCATGTCAACCACCTCAGAACTCTAACCCCCGTATTCACCAACACGAGTTAGAGTTAAATCTCGAGTTAACCAAACACCGCTTGCTTTACTTTTAGTACGCAAATGCTCATTAGTTAACTTTTAACTCTAACTCATGTTGATGAATACGGGAGTAAGAGACATTGGAAATTCACTAATCCAAAATTAAAGGCACGTGTATAAACTTTAAGAAAGAAAAAAGCCTGCCATACAATAAACCAGGATAATCTGTTATAGTTTAATTTTGCACTTGTGCAAATATTGTTTTTTTGAAATATTCACAAATTTTATTCATTTTTAATTTCTTACACGTCAGTTAATAATGCTGTAAACATACTTGTCGTCTTTTGTTTTATCATACACTTTATTGTAAAAATTATGTGATCATTTAAAATTTTATATTTTGTTCCTCTACATTCTATTTTTAGAACATTATTTGACCCGACAAAGATCTGGCTGCGATTGAAAATATTCGTCAGTACATATAGTTTTCATTGTTATATTAAATATCTTACTGGATTTACAAAGGTATTTGTTGTGTTGTAGTAGTAAAATTCTTATGTTAAATAACCTTAAAAATATTTTGACATTAAATTTCGCAACAGATTATCTGCATCTAAACTGGAATTAGATCAGATATAATAAAAATTGAATAACCTGTATGTCGCATTTATTTATATAAATGTTATAAATTTCTTTTGTATTTGAAAAGAATTCAATGTAGTTTCCTACGAGTGTTTTTCTGCTTGGCCTACTTTTTATTTTTGAATATTTCAAAGTGGCACATGTCAAAAAGTTCATTAAATTATGTATAATTTGCACACTTTTATATTATTTCATTACATTACATAGTACTACTTTACCCGACAAAAAAGTTGCAGTCGCCCATCATTTTATAATTTCAATGTGGTACATTCGGTCAATTAGATTATCTGTGATGTGACTTCACAAATTTATTGATATGATTAATCATATAAAATTTCTTTGGAGGAATTATCAAGTGTTTTATTAATCATATTTCCTTATGCCAGTTTAAAAATGACAGGCAATCGCAACCGTTTGTCGGATTTAGTACATATCAAAAATTATTTTTCGGACAGAAATTATAGATTCGTCAAGCATTATTCCAAACTAATTTATTAAATTAATCAGATTTTGATACATAAGATACATAAAATCATTTTTAAATCATTATTTTCTGATATTTTTGAAGTGTATGTCTCCACAACATAAATTTAAAAATTTACTGAAAAAAACTACATTCAGTGTAATAAGATACAGCTTCCCACCAAGGTTTAGATTCAGTTTACATTAAATTTTAATAATTAATTTTAATATTAGGTTTTATTTGAAGTATATAGATTGACGAATATTGGAAAATGATTTAAAAAGTAATTTTATTTGTTAAATCTTTAATCGCAGATCTATTACTACAGATAATGTAAATAAGTATTTTTAAATACTGCACTTTAAATCTGTGTATTTCTAATTTGGATCAGTTTAAAAAAATGCTGCATTTTTATTCTTTCGATGACTGTTCTGAAAGATAAGATTGAATTTTACCTTTCTTAATTTGCATATCAATAGACTTTCTGGCAAGATTTATAGAAAGAACAAAGGTTTATTGAATGGCTCATCATTAGCTGTCTTCCTTGCCAAACTAGTTATAAAAAGCCTTGAGAATACAGAGTATAGTAGAATCTATTAAATCTAAAATTAGCTATATAATGACTAAATTATAACCTGACGAAGGTCTCCGAAAGTGATTAAAAACATTCATTTTTCCAATAAATCATCTCCTGGAATAAGTATTGAAGATGTCTGTGAGTTGTAATTTGTAAACGGTTTGGAATCATGATCATTTGAAATAAAGACTTTTATGTACAAAATTTTGAAAATTTTTCACTTAGTGTCCAGTTTAACAATCAATAAGGTGTTTTTATGTCTGTTTTATGTTCAATTTTTGACCTTAAATAACTGATTATTATGAAACTAGATGTCTATTATAAACCATATTAAAAGATAATTTTATTTCTTTCAATTCTAATCGTTTTTTAATCTAATAAAGTAACTGCATTCTCATTAGACTTATAGCATTTCCTTGCCTTTTATAGCAATTAGAAATGCTTGGACTTAAAATTTGTCAGACTTTACATTGAACCATTCCGAAAATTAATGCAATTTTTGAGATATTTCCAATAAGCGTCAAAGAGAAAATATATAAGGACAAAAAACTTGGAGAAATATAGAGAAGTATATTTTATCAAGTCGACTGATATATAGACATTCTTCGAGAATATCGAGATAGCTTCTGATAAGATAAAATCAAATTCCTCTTTTGTAAAAATTTCATAACTCAACAATATCAAGTGGTTAATCTTTACAAAATATTTTATTCATGAAAAACTAATTATAATAGATTGAACTGAGTTTTATATGCATGAGTAGCAATCACATATAGAAAGCAAAACTCAAATATTTAAAAAACAATTTTAGGAGAATGGCAGTTTTTATTACTATTACTTTAACGAAGACTGCTTATTATTAATTTCTACTGTAAAGAGCCTAAAAAAAATGAAATTACCTAAAAAAAATGAAATTACAGCAACATCTTTATATATCTGATTGAAATTATTAAAAAATGTTTAGTTTTTGGTATAAAACTATTTTCAATTTACAAAAATTCATGTTAACAAAGGCTTTAATGGCATAAAGACTTCATAAACAACTTATGAAAGTCATAAATTATTATTTATGACTTTCAAAAGTTCATAAACAATACAAAAACATATTTTTTAAGTTTTGTTAGTCTGTTAGAATTCAAATATTTCCACAACTTCATCAAGCTCCTGCCAAATATTTATATACAGGGTACCTGAAAAGTTACTGTGCAGTGGAAAAGATTTAATTTTTATTAAAAATTTGCATACAATATTGCAGCTTGTCCCACAGCAAATGCTGGAAATGTCCCAAAGATACCAAAATCCAGGTCTGGAGAGTGGACCCAATTCCACAGATTACGAAATCGGCAAGCAAGTCTTCCAAAAACTATAGTCCAACCCCAAAACGTACATAAGTGAGCAGTGATGTCATCTACCACAAATGGAAATGCGAGACTGTATATACAACTTATATGTAAGGCATTGCATGCAAGACCCGTAAGTTTTCTGTCATTAGAAATTTCTCACTGCACAGTAACTTTTCAAACACTGTATTCAGTTGTGTTTGTTTAGTTATTGTGTTACGCTTTATGTTTATTTTACACTGTAAAACAAATAATAAACTTATCATTGGAAGGTACAAAATACAAATATCAAATGACTGAAATTCTACTGAATAATTATTACTGTTAATTTTTTATGACTATGTATAAGCATTAAATTCTATAAAAATATTAAGAACAAAAACTTTCAGATAAATTTGGTTGTTAAACTTTCACAAATTTTATTTTGTGAAAGTTTTGTGATTCAAAATACAAAATTGATCAACTTAGTGAGTTTGTTTTCCCCTTCAAAATTGGAAACAGTTACAACTTGTTTTGAATTGTAACTATAAAAAAATCCAGCAACAAGTTGCTTAACTTTCTCGGCAACATTTAAAAAGGGTGAACAAAATCATGCCGCATGCCCACACAAATATCCACATACAGGGGTGTAAAAACCCCGAGATTTTTTGCATTTTTCCACACTTAAAGATCCTGAGTACAAAAATGTAAAAATCTTGAGACTCATTTTTTTTAACTGATTACCATTTTGTCTCTCTGTTATATATAACAGAGCCGGGAAAGTGAAAATAAGATGTTTGTGAAAAAATTATCATCATCTGTACAAATTTTAAATTCTAAATAATTCTGAAAAGTTTAATAATAATTAAGCTTTTCAAATTTCATACTTCTTTACAGTAGAATCTCATTTTAACAGATTGCTTGGGTCACCAAAAATCATCAGTTGTTCCAAGAATCCTTTATGTCATGAACAATGGATTTCCCACACATTTCCCACATCTAGAGATCAAATAATGAATTTTTCCACAAAAATAATCATTTAGCCTCTACATTTAAGAATTATGTATACTTGAAATTATTTATCTTCTTGGAATCTCTATTCTTTATTCTATAGAAATGCGTACGTTACAAGAGCATATACAGTGGTACCTCAGGATACGAAATTAATCCGTTCCGAAACTGAGATCGTATCATGAAAATGTCGTAAGGTGAATCATTTTTCCCCATACGATTACACGTAAAACCAAATAATTCGTTCCAACGCGAAAAACATACTCAAATTAAAGCCAAGTAATACATTAAAAAAAATAACTGTAGTAAGAAAAACAAATGAAAAATGCGAACTAATGTAACGTCGTATGGTGAGTTTTTGTTCGTATCGTGGAGCAAAAATATGTTTGAATTTCATGTCATATCCTGAAAATTTCGTATGCTGGGGCATTCGTAACCTGAGGTACCACTGTATTATGTTGTATGTATGTAATAACAAAACTGATGGAAACTTTATACTCTAAGTGCAAAAAGAGCCTGTTTGTTTATGCCGAAACTCTTCAGAAGGTCCTCACGACTTGATGGTTTCATTAAATTTTGGCATTGCACAACATCATAATGTTCACTAGGTGGCTCCTCCTCAATTGTATCAGCCTGCTGACTCTAGATGTAACAAACGCATCGTCAAACTCTACAAATTCTCAGAAACACCTAAATAGTAAATAAACATTGAAAAAAATGCAAAGTTTACAATAGATGAGGCTAGAAAAAAAATCCGTTATTCCAATATCTCTCCAAAACTTGGATTGTATAAACACACAACGCACAAAACCAACACTAGCACTGTGAAAAGTTGTGTGCTGTGTGTTATTCCAATTTACAGATCCACTAAAAGAAGGTAAAATTACATTGATTTGGCTTGACCTGAGAAAAAAAATACATTATTTTGGAAAATCTGTTATTCCAATTCCACGATCCATTAAAACAAGATTCTACTGTTTATATATATATGTTAAAACTATATATATATATATATTACTTCATATATATATATTACTTCATATATATATATGAAGTAATATTGCTATTTTGTCTTAAAATAAATTATATGAAACAAATATTAATACTATAAAGTGTAAAAATAGAAGTATAATATGTATCGTAAATTATTTTCAAGAATAACATTTCTAATCTCCAAATATTTTTCAAATCAATTGCAATTCATTTTCTCTCTCTAAATTTTTATTCTTTAAGAATAAAAATACTACTTCTACTTGTAATAATGATAATTTATCAATAAAACGTCATTAAAAAGTAAATAATAAATAATTTAATATTGTGTATTTGTATTTTATTGTTTTATGCTTCATTTCTCTATAATATTTTAAAATTTTAAATGTAAATATGTATTAAAAAATGTTTTAGTTATTACAATTGAAAGTATTCAATTTTTGAAGATTTTAACATTAATATCTTCTATAAATTTGGAAATGGTATTTGAAATAATTTCTGTAATCAAATTCCCAACTTACTTTTATTGAAGATTTCTGAAAGATTCAGCAGATGATAGGCTTCATAGTTCATAATTCCCTTCATAGGTGCTGTGATAAATTAAGATGGTATAATGAAGTGTACATTTTTACAATTATTTCTTACAAATACTGAATATCTCTTGACTAACAAGGAAAACGTCACTACATGCAAGTCGTGTAATATTCAGTACTAACATTTATACGGTAGTTAAACATATACTATTTACCTATCTAGGAAGATATTTCTCTATGGTCAATATTTTTTCACAAGAAAGTAAAGCATGGACTATCTGTTAAACAGAGTGAAGGTGTAAAGCTGATTAGCAGTGACATCACTGCATTATGATGAAACGTGCTGGTGTCCTCGGCCATGCGATTGCTAGCAAGCACTTATGCTTTTCTTTGCACCGATAAATCGCTTTGCCTTCAATTTGTTTAAATTAATACAGTTTTTTAGCAATGAACCGTAACAAATATATGTACTGTACAATAAAATGCTACCAACTTGAATTTTGTAGCTGAATCTATTTCAATTAAAACTTGTGTACAGAAGTGTGGTTTCTTTTATAATAATATTTATTTTTTCTTTCTTTAAAAGCTGCAAATTTTAATACCCGATTTCAGATTTTCTCGCCAACCTGTGATGCAACACGTTTTGTCATAATGCAATTACATCACTTAAATGGCTTAACATCTTCACTCCGCTCACAAAATAATCTGTGTTTTACTTTCTTCAGATAGCAGTCTAACAAGCAAGCAAGTTCCTATCTTATAAAAGAAATAGAAGTATTGACCATAGAAAAATATCCTTCCAGATATGTAAACAGTGTGTGTTTAACTATCATATAAATGTTAGTACTAAGTATTATGCAACTTGCATGTAGTGAAGTTCTCCTTGTAAGTGCAAATATATTAACCCTGCTATATCATATATCTTCACATATTATAATCAGAGTAAAGTTAGTTATATCTTGAATTCCTCATTTTAAAACCAAGATTCAAATTTTATATTTTTGAAAACTTTGGTCTGCATTTCATTAACACAACATTAGCTCTTTACGATTTTAAAAATTAATTTTTTTAAAGTGGGTTTAAAAAATTTTGATCAAATTCCAACTTACAAAATGAAACTTGTGAAATGGTAATTGTGTAAAATTTAAATTTATGACTGCATTCCACTATATATAAACAGTTAAATGTCATAAATTAATTAGTACTTGATTGCATTCAAGGATAACAAGAATTTCAGTAATGAATACAGATTTCAAAATTCAGCAATTCAAATTTGTTCAAAACAAACATTTTCATCTTTCCTCGGGTTGTACGATGAAGAAGGACACAAGAAAGGCCTTTAGACATGGCCAAAAAGACATTTGTATTAAGTAAATTTGAATTACTAGAATTTCAGAAGACATATTTATTACTTTTTTACTTGTACATCCAGTTTGTTTTCCTACATAAACAAGAATTTCAAATTTATAATATGCTTAGATACAATTTATAACAAGAAATTGACTATAATTAAAAAATGATCAACTTTCTAATTTATAATAATTTATATTTAATAGCACTGTTCTTTATTGAGAATGTTTATATTGAAAGCAAGTCACATGCATATATTTATAATTAATGTACTAAATAATAATGATTTTATTATCTAGTATTTGAATTATATTGTACCAAATACAAAGAAAAATAAATATATATAATTTAACTCTATATAAACAGTTAGAAAATTATGATACTACATATCATATGTAATTGACAAGACTATATCTTCTTTATAAAATCGTACTGTCACTTAATATTATCAGCATAGAGGTATGAAGGAGTATATGTAGAGAGTTGATATTTGGCACAGAGTATTAGGTGTCCAAATCGTTTGCGCATAAAAAAATCCAGACTCGTAGGTAGTCAGAGGACCTAGAATCGAGTCAAAATAAAATCCAAAATGGTAACCTTCTACAAACAGGCAAAACAGCCACCTCACCCCACCGAAGTCAGGTAGGGGACAGTACCACCCACAGTCATTCTAAGAAGTGAACTCTGACCTTAGGACTGAGGGAGCCTGCACGAGACATCTTTTTACTACCTTTTGATTCGTGCTAATCTTGGTTTTATATTATATATTGACACTGTTGCAAATATCACTCTGCCGATACAAATTAAGTAAATTATCAGTTTTTTAGTAAATTTTTAACAACAGAACAAAAGACACAGAACACGTGGTTGAGGTCAACGTGGACATCAGGAACAAGGTAGAAGAGACATTTTTTCACTTCACGTTAATTGACATTTCGAGTCGACAGCCATGTGATCTTGGATTTATATTATATATCAACGCTATTGTAAATATCGCGCTGCCAATACAAATTAAGTAAATTATCAGTTTCTTAGTAAATTTTTACCGACAGAACATTCACCAAAAATGGCTTGTGGATGACCTCGCGGCCAAGGCAGGCGAAGTTTTAACGATTGCACCCAAAAGCAGCAATATCAAAGAAGAAAGGAAAATGAGAACGAGACCTGCCTTGAACATCAAAGTGATTCTGTCTCCGAGACATAGTTTTGTCCCAAGTACGGTTTTGCTGTTTTACTTGTTTTCTATGTGGATCCATCATAACTCCGTTATCAAATCAATTAAAATTCAGTAAATAAGTAATAATTACTAAATTAAAATGTATAATTTCCTCTGTATTTTATTAACCCTTTCTCAGATTAACTACCTTAATAATTAACAACTTGACACAGTCAACAGTCCTGATACCATTAACAATTAACTTCATATTCTCTAAAATGAGCCAATACTTTAAATGGTCTTACATCCATGATAATTTCTTATTAAACACAGGTACGCCACTAAATTTTCAGGCACCTCCTTTAATTCAGACAAAATTAAGAGAGCAAACTTAAAATTCCTGCAGCCGCCAGACTATTATACAGGGTGGTCATAGATGGTATTGAGTGTAGGGCATTTATTTACATTATTTATACTGTACTTGTTGGTGATGATGTCGCAATTTTCTGATATTCTTAATTTATTTTGCTTAAATTTAACCCTATCTATGACTTCTAAGAGATGAAAGAGTCAGTAGCATTGTCAAACATAATTTATATTTAATATTTATTCAGTTTAAGTTTCTAACAGTCCATAATATACTTTAGACACATGGGAAGTGTATAATTATTGATAATAAGTTTGAGAGGTGTTGATGCATTATTATTATTATAAATGATCACAATTAGTCTGGAAAAACTGTTAATCTGGAAAGAATTTGGAACAAAAGGTGCCTGAAATTCAGTGGTGTATTGTATATAAAAATACAAAACAGTTTGTTATTAAATACAACTTCTACTATTTTTGTAACTTTATATAATTATTTCTGTTTGAAAATTATGTAAAAACATGATTTACTACTAATGAATAAAATTAATTCTTTATGATATTAAACATACCTAACCTTTGCTAATAAATTCTGAAGAATTATATTAGAAAATATACAGCAAGCTGAAAAAACTTTAACTACCAATCCATATAACTAGTTATTATCGAACAAACAGTTTTATGTGAAATTATATAGAGTTATATGTTAATACTGTCAAGTAATAATTACTAAACAAGTATTTCACTTCAAGTGTTTCTACATAAAAATTGAGAAATTTCATTTTGAAAAATCATTAAATTAAGAAGACTTCTATCCAAAGACTATTGAATTAAATGAAAACAAATTGCATTATCTGTTATTACCTGCTTGATTGTAAAATTTATTAAAAAATTAAAACGATTTAATTAAATTTTAAAATCAATAAAAATAAAAGATCTGGCAAAAGATTTACCATATGCTATACGTTATGGAAGTATTAACAAACAATAAAACCAAGGAAAGAAAATAATTATTGTGAAATCACTTCATTTCTTTCTACAAAAATTTAATATGAAGAATGCAAACAAATCCTACTAATTAAATAATGCAAATTACTTAATTTTCTGTTAGGCACTATGTAGTAATTATAGAAAATTATTATTAAAAGCATTAGTCTCTAAGAACTGCTTGAATCTGTAAACTGGAACTATCACATAATAAAGAAAATGCACACCTTTCTCACACTTTTAAGCGGTAACAATTTAATAAACAAACATTTTCGGCCACATTCAGGGACCTGTATCCGGTTAAGCATTTTACAAATTTAGTTATCATGGATCAATTTAAAACTACTATAATCATATATATATGACCTTGCTATATCAACTGAGATTAGTTAATGTCTATAGATCTTTCATATAGTATNCAGGGACCTGTATCCGGTTAAGCATTTTACAAATTTAGTTATCATTGATCAATTTAAAACTAATATAATCATATATATATGACCTTGCTATATCAACTGAGATTAGTTAATGTCTATAGATCTTTCATATAGTATATAGTCAGCTGCACTTTATTCATACAAAGCGCACACAATATAATAGTGTGTTCTCGCCAGTCCTTTTGGCTATATAAGTATGAATAGAGTGGTTGGTAAAATGCTTGTCCAGTATGTAGGATTTACGGATTACAGCAATTCTTTTACCGAGAGTGAGTCAAAATTGAATTCAAAATTTAGTAACTTCAAATGACAAATCAAACATTTAATTTGAGTAAAAATAAAAAAAACCTTACAAATTTTACTTTATTTAATTTTTAATCTGTATGATAAAAATAACAATAAACTCTACTAAGTATAAAGAAAACAATAGTAAGGTTGAGGCTGACATTTTCATTGAAAAAATGTGTATGTCGGACGTTCAGTGCTGCCTCCCTGTAAGCCTAGAAGTTTGACAATGGCATGTGGAATGTCGAGTGTGATTCCACTGACGTTTCAAACGCCATTGTCAAACTTCTAGGCTTACAGGGAGGTGGCACTGAACGTCCGAATTACACATTTTTGCGATGAAAACATTGGCCCCAATCTCTCTATTGTGATTTTAACAGAAACAAATATTTCATTTAATGCAAAATCTGCTGCCATTTATTTGATTATAATTTTTTTTCTCTCTGAAGTTCATAATTGGTGGCCTTTAAAACTTT